CCCCCCTCGCCAGAAAATGGCACTGTGCCCCCCCACAACCACTTACATGGTGATGTCTTCTAAGGAGAAGAGGTCCCCATTCTGCACTCGGATATCAAACTCCCTGAGGGTAGTGGCATATGGGTTGGGGGCCTGCCGGATCCGATGGTGCAGAGTGATGTTCCTGAGAGTGAAGGTGCCCATCAAGTCCATCCTTCCCTTATACCCTGCCCCCCGCTTCCTCCCAGACAGCTCAGTGGGCTGGCAAGGGGAGAGGCCAAACCTGAGGATCTTGTTGGGCTTCCCCTCCCGAGGGATTTTCTTGGGCAGGCTCCCGCTGGCCAGGCTTGGCACCGGGAAATCCGCAGCCTCGGCCTGCTCACTATATACTCGGAGGGGCTTCAGCTCCTCCCTCCAGGACTGGAGCATCCCTGGGGAGGGGGTATCCAGGATTTGAGGCACTGCCCTAAGGCCCCCACAGAGCTCCCCCCATGTCCCCCTCCCACTGCGCACCTGCCAGGACGTCCACCGACTTGTTGGAGGGGCCACAGTACAGGATGCAGGGGTTTCCGAAGCCAAGAGCCCGCACCTGCTCTTGATTAGCTTTGTGGAACCAGAACACTATGTGCAGACCCACAACTGTCTTCCCAGTGCCTGTAGCAAGAGGGCTAGTGAGAGCGCCGCCCCTGCCCCTCATCCCACCCCCCACCTGTCTGTGCCCTCACCTGGAGGCCCCTGGATGACCGTGAACTTCTGCCGTAGAGCCTTCCGCACCGCCTCAGTCTGGCTGGGATTCAGCTTGTGGCGGCCTCCACGGATGTCGTAGCTCTGCTGCTTCAAGAAGATGCTGGGGGCCACTGAGGGAAAGGCCAGACCACCCCCAACACCAGGATGGGGGGATACAGGAAGAAAAGGCATGAGAGTGGCAGCGGGGAATGCCCTCAGGGCCTGCACCCTCCCTGCTCTGCGGACCCAGGCCTACCTCTGTGACAGGACTGCTGACTGGGAGGGTGGCTGGAGGGGCGGTGCGGGGGCTGAGGGATGGGCAGGCCCAGGGCAATGCTGACGGCCAGTGAGGTCACCCCCTTCAGCCTCTTCAGTTTGTGCAGGGCTTCCTCCTTGCGCCTGGGTGGGCAGGATGGAGATAGGGATTGGGAAATCCACAGGCCTCTGGGGAAGGGACTGCCTGCCCTTTTCTTTGGCCTGGGGAGCCACTCACAGGTCGGGAAGCTGTTTGGGCAACACCTCAACAGTGAAGAGGGTGTCAGGTCTCAGCACCTCTTCAGGAACCTTCTCCGTGGCCATGTGGAGAAGATGGAAGTGCACCCACTGAGGGGCTTCCAGCTTGCATGCCCGTTCCTCCTCCAAATCCCAGTCCTCTTCCGTCAGCCCATGAGCCACCCAGGTGAAGGTGCTGGGGTCGATGCTGAGGTGGGGGCCAAGGCTGTTGCGGGGGTCCCCGGCGTCAGATGCAACTGGCAGTCCGTCAAGGCGGATACAGAGGTAGGAATGGCTGAAGGTACCCTCTAGATTGTGATCTTGGAGGAAGGCAGACTCCAGGCAGAAGGCACCCCTCAGAGGCCCCTGCAATGTCTCATCCTTGGTCCAGCATATGGCCACCTGCTGCAAGGTGATGGAGTCGTTCTCTGCCACCGCACTTGTGACTGACTCCAGGGTGCAGAACGGGCCCCAGACACTGATGTATTCGTCCACATTGGCGCAGCGGTCCAGTGCCGGCTGGGGTTCACAGCCGGAGAAGCAATCTCTGGGCTGCCCCACGTGTTCCAGGCACAGGCTGAATCCAGGAGCCACGACCCACAGCTGCAGGGTGGGCGCCAACAGGCCCTGCTGCAGGGTTGCGCCAAGCTGCACTTGCAACACGTCCCCAGGACCCAACTTGCGCACCACCTCCACCAAGTGCCCGCAGGGACTCCACGACACTCTGCCCACCTCACAACGTTGTGGTTCCACGGTGCCCTGCTCTTGGACCAGGGCAGCTGCCTCGGGCCAATGCTGCTGCTCCACCAGTTCCAGAAGCTTCTTCCACAGTTCCGGGTCCACGGGCCGGGCATGTGGGTCAAACAGAGCACCAGACATCGGGACGCAGTGTCCATTGGCCAGCAGTGAGTAGATGCGCCGGCGCCACCGGAGCCAGAGGCTGGGCAGGCCCTCCAGATGTTGGGGGGGCTCGGCTAGCTGCAGGCAACGGTAGTGCATGGGGTAGGGGTCAGGAAGGCTCTTTCGCTGTGTGGGGAAGAGTACCCGGAAGCAGTGGGCGCCCGCCTTCACGTCCACCGCGAAGCCCAGCTTGCTCTGCAGCTGGGCCCGAAGGCACACAGCCAGGTGCAGGCGATGGGCCCGGCGCTCGTAGCTCTGGGCACGTGCGTGTTGGCGGCCAAAGTCTCGGCAGAGCCCGTCAATGTCCTTGGCTGAGTAAGTGGCACTGCCAAGACCCAGCACTAGAAGGACCTGCCTCTGAAGGACAACGTCCATGTATCGACGAATGGGTGAGGATGCCCACGCATACCGGGCCACCTGCAGTGAGTGGTGGGCGGCCAGCTGCTGTTTGCCGAGGCTGGAACGGCCAAAGGCTGAGCGGCACTGGACCTTGCAGAGCTCGAGGCTGGCAGGGGCCAAAGTGGGGTGCAGGTCGTCAGTGGCGATGAGGTCTGTCATCTGACTGAAGTCCTGGGCCTGGGTGGCCAGCTGCAGCTGCTTCCAGAGAGAGGTCAGCAGGCAGAGTCTTGTGCCGGGGAGGACGTGGCCTTGCAGGCGCTGACGGAGGTGCAGCGACAAGGGGACCAGCCCACAGTACTTCTCACTCAGGGTGTCCAGCTGGGCGCGGCTGGGCGCCAGTTGCCACCGCAGGGGCGTAACTGTCCGTGTGAGCTTGTTGCCCACCAGGAACTCAGCCACACTGCTGTTGAACTGAACCATGTACTCCTTGACCATGATGTGTGCCAGGCGGAAGCCCAGCACACTGTTCTCGTCCGGTTGCTCATAGAGCCAGTCAGTTCCCAGGCGGTTCCGGCGCAGCGTCTGAGAGAAATGAAAGGCGGCCACTACACAGGTGTCCACTGAGTCCAGGCAGGGTGGCAGCCCCTGATCAGCTCCCAGGTGAGACCGGATCATCTGCTCAGCCTCCTCGTAGGATAGCTGACGGTCAGAGCGAACCACGGAGGAGGCAAAGCGCTGGCCGTTCAGCTGTCCACTGCTCTTCTCGAAGGTAAGGAAGAGCGAGATGGCAAGGCGGTCCTGGCCTGGCAGGAGACTCATTGAATCCCGGCACAGGCCAGCCGGCAGCATGGGCACTGGGTCCCGGTGGGGCGCATAGAAGGCAGTAGCCTGCCTGCGAGCCTCCACGTCCAAAGCACCATCCCTGGGCAGGAGTGTGGCTACGTCAGTAATGTGCACAGCCACCTCATACTGCTGGCCCATGTCCCGGATGCTCAGGGCATCATCCACGTTGCAGGTGCCCTGGGGGTCCACGGTGAAGGTCAGGAAGCCTCGGCAGTCCTCACGCTGGCCAGGCATCTGACTGAGCTCCAAGCGGTACCTTTGTACCACCTTGGCAACGGCAGCTGGGTCCGGCGAGGGCTCCCTCAGGCCATATTCCAGGTCCAGTACACGAAGGCCCTGTTCCCAGGTGGTGACCTCGGGCAGCACCTCCAGGATGATACCCAGCGGGTAGTAGAAACGTTCCCGCCACAGCACAATTCGGACCCAGAAGAGCCGCGTGCGCCGTTCTGCACTAGACAGTCTCTCGTGCCCCACACGCTGCACACGACCCTGGAGCAGGCGATGAATAGGCACTCGAAGGGGGTCCTTCAGCTCAGCCACAAAGATCTTGGTCACAGTGTTGTCAATTGGGACCATGATGCGGGGATCCCACTTGTCCATCCTGCACACGAAGATCAGCTCACGCCGGCAACGCTTTAGAACCCCCAGCACTCGGCCCTGCTGCCGTGCGGCAGCCTCGTCATCCTCATCGTTGGCCCTGCCCAGGACCTGCACCAGCACCTCATCCCCTGTGAAGGCCATGCCGCAGTGTAGGCGGCCCTTGATCTGGAAGGTGCCAGGCACCATGCTGTCCAGCGCCACCGCTGTCGCCTGTCCGAAGGCCTCCTGCAAAAAGGTGCACCGGCGGTAGGCCTTTGGCTCGGCTCGGAGCAGCTTGCGGAGCTCGGCATGTGGCAGGTTTACGTACTGGTGGGCCTGCTGGGCGCATGCCGTGGGACCAGTAACTGTGTCCAGCAGCCCGTCCTCACGCACGGTCACCGTCACGTTCCGACTCTCGTCCAGGAGCTCCTGCAGGATGGAGTCATCAGCATTGAGTTCCCAGTCCAACGGCCAGAAGTCGGAGCCGGTGTCCTCAGGGTCCTCAGGCAGCACGGTCCCAGCCTCTGCCTTCGATGCGGGTCTAGCCACTACAGCAGCACGTGGGCTCTCTCTGCCTGTCTCCCCTGCTGCCTTCTTCTCTCCTGCAGCTACAGTCTCTGGCGTGGACATGTCCTCTTTAGCTGCGGCAGGCTCCAGGGGTGGGCCCCCTGCTGCTCTAAGGGGTGTGGCCAGCCGGCCCCCACAAGGCCAGCGCTGGGCCTGGGCCACGCCCTGCTCGATCTGTTCCAGTGAGAGGCTCCGGGGACAGACACTCTGGTGCTCCACACACTCACGGATAAAGCTTTTCCAAAGCCGGCTGCAGGCCCCAAAGGAGCAGAGGGCCACGGCGTCGCCCACAACCACCACCTGCGACTGGGCCCGAGTCAGGATGGTGTTGAGCACACGTGATTCTGTGAAGAACTCCAGACTTGGTGCCCCAGGGCCACGCAGGCTGTTGTGGGAGTGGACAGTGCTCAACACCACAACCCGGAACTCCCGGCCTGGAGGGACAAGGGCCAGGGAACCAGGGGTCAGGGGGACAGACACTGGGGATCAGGGGAGTTGGTGTGCTGAGGGACCTGTTCCTGCCTTATGAGGGACAAGGATCAGGGGATCGGATGCTGGCATACACAAGGGCCAGAGGACCTGTTCCTCCCTGGAGAGACACGGATCAAGAGACCACCTCTTGCTGACCAGGGTGCGGGTAGTGGGCAGGGCCATTTTCAGGTTGGCTCCCAGGCCCCCACATGGGGGCAGCTGATGTCCTTACAGAATATACACTACCCCAGTTTGTCACACCCCCACCAGCAGGGGAGGTCCATGCCTGGCCCAGGGGCCCCACCTACCTGGTAGGATCTCAAAGCTACCCACAGACACCTCTGCCAGGCGCTTCCTCCTCAGCTCCTGCCTCAGGGCACTGACCTGGATGGAGATGCAGCAGGGTCAGCCGGTCAGCTGGTCCAGCCTAGCCCTCCACCCAAATGCCCACATAGACTGAAAAGGGACAGGACACTTCATCACTGAGCCTTGGCCACACCACCGTCCTCTAACAGATGGGGAGACTGAGACTCAGGAAGTAGCACTGGGTGCAGACAGGACCCCCAGCCTCACAGGCCTCACCTGAGCCCCGTGGGACACGGCACAGATGAGCCGTTGCTCCCGGCTGCCCCAGCAGGGCGGCCAGCTGTCGTAGATCTCCTGCACTTTCTCCACCACCTGGAGCAGCTCGGCTTGGTTGAGCCAGGAGGTCTGAGACATGTCCTGCTCGGGGCTACCTGCCACATGGCAGAACATGAGCGGGTAGTGACGAGGGTGGCGCGGGACTCTGCCGCTGGCGTGGATGGGGTTTCCCTGGGCCAGGTAGAAGTGGCGTGAGATGAACGCCACAATGGCCTGGGTGGAGCGGTAGTTCGCATGGAAGACCACTCGGCTCTGCCGGGCAACCACATGTACCTCCTGCTGATAGTGGAGGAAGAGGCGGTTGAACAATGTGTGGCCAGGGGCCTGGCCACTGGCCACACTAAAAAGCTTGGGCGTGACCTGCAGGTGGTCACCCGCCAGGACCATGCGGGTGCGCAGTGTGGCGTAGCGTAGTGGGGTCAGGGCTTCGCACTCCAGCATCTGAGCCGCCTCATCAATGAAGATGTGCGAGAAGAAGCCGGCAGGCACTTGGAGCACGCGTGCCTGCGAGGTGGTGGTCACCACAATGCGGTGTTGCTGCAGCTCAGCTTGAGTCGGTTGGCGGAAGGCTCGGCGGTCCTCTGTCAGACAGCAGTACTGGAGTGTGGCTGCGTCTGTCTGGCTCGGAGGGCGGTCTGTGTACATCACTCGGAGTGGGGTGGCCTCAGGGTGACCGCTTCTGACGTGGTCATGGAAGTATTCCCGGATGTAGATATCGGCCGCACTGGGGGAGGGAAAGATGGCACCGGGATGCTCTCAGGGGCATCGGTGTCGGCAGAGGATCAGATACCAAAACAGCAGCAGCTCAGTGGGCCTGGGTAAGGAGGGCTAGGGTCACAGCTGGGGCCCGAGGCTGCCCTAAGTGACTGGAGGTGACTATGAGCTCAGCTCCCAGACAGGTGTCCCTAAAAAAGATGTATCCGCATCCTGGCCTTTGGAGCCTGCGAGTGTGATCTCATTGGTAAGATCACACAAATGGGTGCGATTTGTTAGGGATCTTCACGTAAATTGCACTGGATATGAACCTACGGCTGATGACAAAAGCCTTAGAAGAGACACAGAGAGAAGAGAGGGGGCCTGTGATGAGACAGGCAGAGCCTGGGGTCGATCACCTGAAGTCAAAAGCGATAAGAAGGTTCACCTCCCTGGAAGTTCGGGAGGAAGAAGCTCCTCCCACACTCTAAGTTTCGACTTCTGACCTCAGAATTGTGCTAGGATGCATTTCTGTGGTTAGAAGCCTCCTGTCGGTTCTTTGTCACTAGGCTTCGGGAGCTCTCTCAGTACGTGAGACGTGAAAACTGGGCCCCTAGCACCCTGACAATTTCCAGAGGGAGAGGAGAAGCAGAAAAGCCGGGAATGGGCTCTCCAAGCCCTCAGGCCCGGGGACGGCCCCATCTGCCTGACCAGCCCAGAACTGCCCAGACACCACCTGTGGCTCTTCCTCCCCAGAGCCGGGGAGGAGAAGCCCCCTGGAAGCAGCTGCCACTGTGGGGAACTAGGAAAGGGGAAGTGGGAGAGCTCAGTGAGACATCTGTGCCGCTGCTATAAACAAATATCACACCCCCCATCCTGGCCCCAGCGCAACCTCTTACCCCACCTCAGCTCAGGGCCCCGGGCCAACCCCCTGCAAGGGTCAGGAGAATGGGTCAGCAGGCTGTGTGGGGAGCCCAGACCCAAGACCCTGTCAGCCCAGTCTCAGTCTCCTCTCCCAGCATGATGCGCTCACCTGTTAGTGTGCGTACAGATGAGCACCTTGGCATGTGGTTGCCGGATGACCTCCAGAGAGGCTATGGCCAGCGTGTAGGTCTTACCAGTGCCGAAGGGGCCATAGATCAGCAGCGGGGGAGTGGGCTTCTGGCCCTGGGGGCTGCCAGCAATGAGTGCCACAGCCAGTTTCTGTTTGCTGTTGCCGTGTAGGGTGGGCAGGATGGGGCGCGGGTGAGGCGGGGCACAGGCCGGCAGGTCAGGCAGTACCAACTTGGCCGTGGGCAGTACATCCACTGCCTGATGCCAGAGGCGGAAGGTCATAGGATCGACTTGGAACTGCACCTCGAGGATGGGACTGGTCTCGGGTTGCAACTGCAGGGCCGAGCAACAGCGGGCAGGCAGCAGCAGCCACAGAGCCTGCTGGAAGCCAGCCCGGGCCTCCAAGCGCACCTCGAACACTGTGTGATCAGGTGAAGGTACAGGTGCCACCAGGGCCGTGTTAACCGCCCGGCTTAGCAGGAAGCCCTGGTCTGTGTCAGGTGTCAGAGAGGTGGGCAGGGTGACCTCAGCGTAGAGAGCCCCCGGAGGCGCCAGGAGCAGGCCCATGGCTGGCGTCTGCAGCACGGTCTTCAGGGTTACCTGGACCCTCAGGTTCAGCCTGGGGGGGAGGCCTAGTCAGCTCAGGGGCCCCATCCGCTGTGCCCTCCCAACTGCCCGCCCCCACACTCACTTGGCCACCAGCTGCTGCTGCGCTGCTTCCTCCTCAAAGAGAAACTGGTGCATCCGCTGTCGGTAGTTGGTGCAGGTGAGGGGGCTGGGGTCAGGGCCACGGGGACTGTACTCCAGGGCCAGGGCCGGTGCCTTGTATTTGGCCATCAGAGCTACCTGCTCAGCAGTCCGCTCCACACAGGGCACGACCTGGCGGTTGCCAGTGTGCCAACGCTCCAGCTCCTGGAGGGGGCTGGGCACCAAGGCCCCCTGGGGCCCCAGACCATGCACCTGGCCTAGCCGCAGTCCCAGTTTTCGAAGCAGTGCCGGCCGGCGTCCAAAGTCAAAGACCACCCACTGCTCAAAAGTGCCAAAGGAGTTTCCCTGCACGCGCACTCCCACCTGGAAATCGGCCGGGGAGCCAGGCATGCAGAAGCGTTCCCCCAGAGCATACAGCCGGCCCAGGCGCTGTGGCTGGGAGGTCACCAGTGAGAAGTTGGCTCCCAGCTCCTGCTTGAGCAGGGCCACGTGCAGCAGGGGGTCCTGGGAAAAGAGACTGGCAGTGAGGGCCCGGGTTTGCTGTGTGACCCCAGCAGGCTGCTCACCCTCTCTGAGCTTTGCTTTTCTCATCTACAAAGCGGGGTTGCAGAATCTGCCTAGAGATCCCTGTGGGTGCAAAGTAAGGTGATGCATGAAGCACGGAACACACAGGTCACAAGGACCACCTGATTTTGCAGGTGAGGAAACTGGAGCAGAGAAGCACACAGAATCCAGGTTCCCCACATCTGCCCTGCCTTGCTCCCCTGGGGGCTCTGTCCTCACCTTGGAGTGGATGTAGAAGGTCCAGCAGTGCTGGGCACTCCTCCCCTTGGCTTCATGCACCAGGGGCTGGTCACAGGAGATTGTCACACCGTCCACGGTCTCAGCCAACTGCAAGGGGGTCTGGCAATTAGCAGGGCAGGGCAGTCCCACCCCACCCCACCCCGAACCCTCTGCCTCTCCAAACTCACCACAAGGACTTCGCTGCTGCTCTGCTGGTACTCAGCCAGCAACCGAGCCTGGTAGGACACCAGCCCCTCCTGCCAGGCCGCCTGCTCCCGCAGCTTCCCCGTCTGCACCCGCTGCACCCACTCTTGCAGCTCCTGCACTGAGTGAGCCTTTGTGCAGGCATCTCTATACTCGCAGAGGTTGGGTCTGGGGGCGGAAAAGGCCATCAGAGCCCTGAGGCCCCCACACTGGCGGGGAGCCCGGGCCTTGCTGTCCAGTGCACCATCTGTCTCCGACAAGGCCCGGCTCCTGTGAGATCATGGGTCTCAAGCCATAGTACAGGAGGGCAGTGGGGCAGGAGGCCTTTGGCCCAGCAAACTGCGATCCCGAGTAGCCACGCCTTTGCCACGACAACGCTTACCTGGGGCAGAGCTGGAATTCAGAAAGTCCAGTGGGTGGGGCACGGTGATCCCAGGGCACAGCTGGGTCAAAGGTCACCATCCGTGCATGCTCCAGAGATGCACAGTGGTTCTCAAAAGCCTCCAGGGAGCGGCAGGTGATCAGGCAGGTCCGGCAGTACAACTGGAGCTCAGGGGGCCGACTGACGGGCACGGTGTTGTGCCGGTCACCTGCAGGGCCAGGGGGCGGGAGCAGGTCTCTGCGCTGCAGTCCCTTCTGCTGCTCTGCTACCCAAACAGCCATCTCCACATCGCTGTGAGCAAACTGGCACCAGGATACCCCGTGCCGGCACGGCTGCCCCTTTGCCACAAACTTGCAGTAGGCCAGCAACTGCCTGTGCTTGGGCATTGGCCTCACTTCCACAAACTGCTGCTTGCTCTGCCCGGCATTCACATGAGCCAGGAGTGGGCGACAGGTTCTGTGCTCTGGACACTGGCCCCCAGCATCCACGCGGCAGAGTCGCGGTGGGCGACACCGGAAGCACCCTGAGCAGAGCAGCTGAAATTGGCCTCCAAACTCGGCTCTGATGGTGTCCGAGGGGCGGGGAAGGCTGCCTGGGGCCCCGGTACCACCACCCTGCACAGCTGCCTTCAGCCAAAAGCGGGAGACACCATGTTCACGCTCAAAGGTCCAGACCAGTGCCTCCTCCGGGCTTCGGGCAAAGGTACACTGGTTGCCGTGACGACGGCAGCCCAGCCCAGGGCTGTAGTAACGACACACAAAGTACCGAGCTGGCCGAGGGAAGCTGGGCCGACGGCCCACCTGGCGCCAGGTCTTGCGCCGGCCATTGTGCTTGGATCGGGCCAGCAGGAGCTCTCTGGAGCAGCCGTGTTCCACGTCGTTGTGAAGCACATAGGTACTTTCGTTGAGGCGCTTGGTGCAACCTGAGCAGCCCAGATACAGGTCTACCTTCGAGCTCAGGGCAGCAATGGACGGCCCCTTGTTAGCTGTGGGTCTGGCGGATGATGGGCCACAGGCCAAGGATCCCATCTTGGTCACTGGTCTGGCTCTTCGGCGGCGGCGGGAGGCAGCAAAGCTTGTGGGCTCAGCGGGTCCTCTGGGCGGGAGAGGAGCAGGCTCAGGCCTGTACCCGGAGGGGCTGAGGACAACCAGGCAGGGCGGACTCTGTCCAGTCTGATGCGGAGGGGGACACTGTTAGCACAGGAGCCTCTGAGCCAGTCTTGGCCTCTTGAGGTGGGGTCCACTTACCTTGACCCAAACCAAGCCCCGACTTCTGAAGGTCTCCAGGTCCTCCCCAAGGGGAAGTCAGCATAGATGTGCAGGGAGGGAAGTTGCCGAGGCAACGGCAGTCCTACAGTGACTAGGAGTCTCTCACTACTGGGAGGTCGTTCTGGCCTGTGGGCTCCCAGAGCCCCTCAGCACCCCAGCTCTACCGCGTCTGGCACCTCCTAATACTCTCATCACTTTTTTGAGAGATAATAGTGGCTCTTGAGGCAGTGCACCCCAACCTGTTCGGGTGTGGGGGGGGTCTGGTTTCCTTCTCATTGGGTGTTACAGATAAGCCTGCAGGCAACAGTGTAGAAACCACTGGAAGTTGGTCCTGCTCCAGTCACCCTACAACCCAGAGCAGCTCCTACCCGGCCAGGGGCCCGGGGAGGGGAGCCAGCTTCCTGCAAATACTGCCAGTCTTGGTCTAAGGGAACTTTCTAGGAAAACTTTGGGGGCTACACAAAGATGGTGTTTGGAAAAGGAGACTTTAGCGCCTTGGCCCTCGCTCAGAGTGGAAACTTCGTTCCAGAAGGTGCGTTAGTGGGATTCTCAAATGCAGAGGATACTCAAGTGGGGTAGCTGGCACCAGTGAGGACCCCGGGTGATGAGGTCACCGGCAGCTCCCCCGCCCCCAAGGAGAGAGCTCAGATGGTCCCAGGATGGAGCTCCAGCGGTGGTGGGGGGTAGAGGTCCCACCAACAGCCAGGGTGTTGACTCAGCACACCTAGACTCTCTTTGTCTCTCCCGGAGCCCCTGGGCTTCCCCACCTAAGGGAGCCCATAGCCCCCTCAGCAGGACGATGTCCTCCCTTCCCCTCCCCCATCCAGGCCCCTCGGGCCTCAACGCCACCGCCCACTCAGGGTACCAGAAGACACCATCCCTGGAGAGGACGCTTAGGGAGAAACCCTTTCCCAGCAAACATGCCCGGCCCCATCTCCGGAAGCTTACCCTCTGGAGCCCCCATCGCTGTCCACGGCCGCTGCTGAGTGACGCCCCATTCGGTTGCAGCCGGGGACCCCGCCCCGAGCCGAGCGATCACTTTCGATTCTGCCCCTGAGGTGACTCAAACCTCTGACGCCCGATCGCGGAAATTACCTCACTGCCCCCCCC